ATGCACATACCTTCACTTATTGCATCTCAGTCTCGTTCAGTAACTTGTGACTGCCTGACCATACTCTTAACACAGGACTGCTTTCAAAGTTTTAAAAGAGATGTCACCAAAAGGTCTTGCCAAAGCATTGACTATTAATAGTCAGCTCTTTCAACCAGAGACATACTCAGAAGTAATGCTCTCCTTTCACACTCCTTCATAATTCCAAGAGAAGCAAGTAAAAAATTGTAGTTGTTAGGAAAACTAATCAAGTACAACAGCTTTTAACCCAAATACAAAGTAAAATTAATGAAGTTGTGATAGCTAATCAACAGTGAAGTGAAGCTGTTGAATGTACACAAAGAACTGTGGTGATACTGATTTCACTCTAGTCCTGCAATGGTAACTGTGGCAGGCAGTGGAAAAACACGAATTGTCTCACGGCAAACATCCTCCAACTCTTCTTTGTTACACCCATTGTTAGTGCGTATTTACCTCATGATAACTGCATGTCTAACTTGCTAGAAATAAGCCCTCTCCTGTTTTCAAAACTGAAGAAAAGATGATGTCAATTGTGTCTCTACATCATGTTCAGTAAGCAGGCATTTGGGATCACATAGGATAAAATAAATGTCTTGGATAACATCTGCTTTTAAAGACCTCATCACAAAACACACTTTTATGCACATATGTGATAATCAACTATAATAATTATTTTGTGCTGGAGGTCCTCTCTGTTCCTTATAGGTTCTCACTCAGCTACTCTTGCTTCTAGTTTACAGACTTGATCATGAAAAGGACTTCCTATAAACATTCTTAAGCCAATTTTGTTGCATTTTCCAGACATATTTCAGGCTCTTTTACCTCAATATCCCCTAGTTTCACCGGCAGGTATGAAAAGCCTTCATAAACTGTTATATATTACACTATATATTACACATTTACTACTGCTACATCAGTTTCAAGCAGGACCCCAGCACTGAATATAAGCCCTTCAGTTTGGAGCAGCACAAAAATTAAGACATCTTTGTTCATCCATCACATGAGTAATACCCACATTTCTCCAGCTGACTCAGTGGCAGCTACAAGTAGCAGCTCTCAAAAACAAAGCTCAAGGTCTCTCTAAATTAACACACTGATGACTAGTTTCGAAATTTTTAGCAAAAGTATTCCCCTTCTCAGACAACCAGTAAGGGCGAAAGGAAATTTAAATTAACTCTTTCTTCTTCCCATATCTTGACATTTTCTCTATAATCAAGTCCAAACCCTACAAAAAGGCTGCTTTCTCACCAAGTGAGCTAGAGCACTGGTCAGTTTCATTTCCCCAACACTGAAACGCTTAAATTTGCTGCTTTACTGAAGAGTTTTAACTCTGAGCTAGACTCAGTGGTTTCAGTTCTCAGGGGGTTTGTTTCCCACAGCTGCTCTGCAGCCAAGCTGTGAACAAACCTGAAAATTCATTTGAAAAACCTGCTATGGTTTCTCATGCTTTCACAATCACATTACAGCTCTTTCCTCAACATTTACCACCTCCTGCAGGGAGTTCCCCCCCACCAGAGGTGAAATTTACCAGGAAGGTTTATAAACCTTGATAAGCCTTTCAACTTAAACAATTTAAAAACTTGGTTTCAAATAAATCTTCTATTCTATAGGTTGGATTCAGAGCTGACTGACACAACTGAAAGGACTCCACGAATGTTAACGGACTCTGAATTTTAAATTTCCTCATGCCTCTCACTGTCCGTGACTCAGTAGGAAAGTACTCAGTGACTTAAGGTTGAGGACAACTATCCTTTCTGTAATCATAAGTTGAATTAGTGGCTGGGCTAGTAATAACTTCATATGAAGTGCCACTTCATATGGCTATATATGAAGTGCCATATGAGGAGCCACTTTGCAGAGGTTAAAATTTCTTCCCTTCCATCAGGTAAGAACAGGGTTTGCAGGTCTCAGTGCAACAAAGTGTTGGACCTAACTCTTACCAATTTTTTAATACTAGTCCTGAAATGATCACTGTGGCCACAGCATTTGCGCAGTGGCCACGGAAACAGATAAACTGGCATCTGCTGAACGCAATGGTTTGAAGGACCTGAGAAGCAGCTTGCACTCAGGCAAGGATACTTCCCACAAACGTGCAAGTCCAATCATGAGAGTGTTTACTTCTTCCATATCTCAGTTATGCATTCTGCTTTCCAGCCTTGACCTATTACTGGTACTTCGTATGCTCTAAATGCACGAGATGCTATCGTTCACCAGAATTACTCAGGCCCATTTACTACTACTACTTTTTTATTGGTTTAAAATCCTACTAGAAACTGACATGGAGTTGACCCCTGAATTCACACCCCAAGAGGTTCCTGAACCCAAAGAGGAAAGTACTCATTTTTAATTCACATTGACAAATCAAACAAATTTCAAATTATTCACTGTATGTAAGCAAAATCCTGATCATCATCATCTCAGAAGCAGTTTATAATCAAGCAAATAAACTGAAACAAAATGTAAAACAACAATAGTAACTGATAGTTTCTGATGACCGACTGACAAAAAAATGCCAGTAATCTATATATTTAGACCATAGCTATTTCAAGGGTTCATTTTTACAGTAAATGCTTGAATATTCCACTATCACTATCCTACGTTTTTTCAAACGTCAAGTAAATAAAAAGGTGAACTCAGGGCAGTTCATTTGTAGGACAAACTCCCTCAATTGTGGCATGTTTGGGGTGAGAACTACCTACTATATATGAATGCAGCTCCAGCAACCTACAGCTTGATCTTTCATTATAGCCACTACAACACAACATAAGAAAAAATTGAAATATTAGAAGAGTAAGGTAATATTTCTTATTTCATTGCTAAATTATATTTAGGGACCCATACCTATTGTTTAAGAGATTTTTACTCTTTGTCACTACCTACAGAGACTGAAATCTATTTTTTTTGTTGTTACTTTAGTATTTTCTTTAAAACTGGTGTTCTGGATTGCAATCAAACCAACTCTAGCTGCCATGCAGCAAGAAAGAAGTTCCTCACAGGGGCAAACAAACAGCCAAAAAAAAGCAAGGGATAGAAAGGAATAAAGGTCATTTTCACAGTGGAGTGATATCTTCAGAGACTCTCCCAAGTATCTGTGCCAGGCCCTATACTGCTCAACACATTTATAAACTAGCTAGAAAGTGCACGTGAAAAGCCAGATGACAAACTTTGCTAACGCTACTAGATTATCCAGGGTAGCAAAGAGTTGCCTGCCAAGAATTGTAGAAGGACCTCAGTATATTACTAACCAGCTGATAAAATAGCAGATGAAATTCAAAGCAGATAAACATAAACTGAAGTAGGAAGGGTATGGTAGGAGGAAGCAATCCTAATTTTATATATACAATAGTGCATTCTAAGCTCGCCCTTACCATTCATAAAAAACATCGGGGCAGAACAGAAGGTTCTGTGAAAAGAACATAATACCCAGCAATGTTCAGGAAGGCAAACAGAATGCTAGGAATCATTAGAAAAGGAAAGGAAAACAAAACAGAATATTTTTATGCTGCTATTGTAAAGTCAGGAGTATGCCCACATTCTGAATAATGTGAGCAGTTCTGGTACCACTTTCTTCCTGTCCCCCCATTTAAAAAAAGAAATGGGACTGGAAAGGGTACCAAAAATGCAGTAAAGGATAGCTGAAGACACAGAACAATTTCTTTACAGAGAACAGTTAAGTAAACTGAAAGTCCTTGCCATGAGTTGTTGCAGATGCTAAAAATTCAAAAAGCAATTGGACAAATGGATGAAAAACCATCAAGTAATATTACACAAGAAAGCAGTATTTTTGGCTGAAGATCTTGAAATACAGAGATTGGGAGAATACAGTAGAGACTAGGAAAATACACTGGTTAAGTATCACTATCTATTTGCTCTGTTTTCAAAGTCTTTCCTAGGCATTTGACATTGACAATCTCTGAGGCAAAGTATTAGGCTAGGCAAATCTATCGCCTGACACAGTATAACTGTTCTTATGTTGATTTAATTTAGCTATCATGGAAAGCAACAGCGGTAAGGATCTGGTATGACAGGTTCCCTCACAGTCTACCAAAGGAAGCATCCTGGGGAAGCCTCCTAACAAAGGGTTTGTATGCTGACTGCATAGAGTTTTGCTTTTTTACATTCCTACTACAGTATGGAGAGCCTGCTGTGATATCCTGCCATATCCTAATAGTCACTGCTGTAGAACAGTCGAGTTTTCTATTTGCATAGGACCATCTTGATTTGCGGTTTTAAAAAAAAAAAAAAAAAAAAAAAAAAAGAAAGCACATTTAAGAAAACACTATTTCAGTTAAAATGATGAGCAGTTCAGATGAAATGGGATGAAATTAAGCAGATGCACATCTAGTTGCAGGCTCAGGATCTCAAAATATTAGTATTTAAAGGAAGAGCTGTCTCTTGTTATCTGTATACCACCCAACTTTATAAAATCCTGATCTTGTCTGGGATCTCTTGATATTTTCACAATGACTGCAAATTAGACTAAAATTTATAGACTGAAATGGAGAACATGAAACTTCATTTATTCACATCATAACACAGTGCTTTTTTCCCCTCTTTTATTATAGGAAAACGCACATGAAGAGTGACTCTTCCTGTTAGAAGACTGGTTCCTCTGGAGTTCTTCCAACATGTCTTGTAATTGATGAGTGCCATATCTAGCCATGTGAGCCAAGCCAGTTAATCAGGCAGGCCCTCCTTTTCCTCTGCTGCCTGTGACAGTACATGTTGCTATGCAGTTGATGGGATTCTTCTTAAAGCTCAAAAATTAATAAATTTTAGTTGTTTTCTATTCAGAATGCATTTCAGTGTTTTGGAGAGATATCAGTTTGTTTAACAATCACATAAGCCTCACTTTTGAGAGCAAGGAAGATTAGGTTCCAGGCATAGACACACTTAACAATTAAACAGTAAAATAAAAAAGCAACATAACCAAATAAAGATACTACTTTAATTTATTAAAATAGAGAGCTGGTAAATACCTTTCAGATATGTATCTGTTTCAATTGTCACGCATACTGGACACAGGCGATTTGCTGTGCTGAAGTTGCTGCAACGCTTTGAGGTGAAGGGTAAAGGCAGAATCATGCAATGTTTTTTTCCCCCTGAAAAACACTTTCTCTCATTCCCTCAAAGGGGAATGAATGTATATGGAATATCATTAAAAACGCACCATTTTAAAATTTGCCACTTTGAAAGTTCTAAAAGCTGGAATTGAAGCTTGCAGTAATAAATACAGTCTTTTTACAGGTTTGTTTTTTTTTTTTTTTTTTTTTTTTTTTTTACACCCTCAAGCCTCAGAGACACATAAGGTCTAATTTCATAATTGTGTTAAATGACCTAAAACTAATACTGCCACCAGAAATCATGAACCAGGGCCAGGAGCACTAACAACACCCTTTTCAGCAACAACATACTCTAGAGTAGTCTTAAGCTATTCACCAAACTGAACCTGAAGTCTAGAAACTGCCTTGCCAAATTTTACTCAAGAAATCAGTGGCCAACCCCGACATACCACAATTTGAGTTCGCTCAACTAATTCATGTAGCATTATAGAAAAGTGTGACCAACTTCAAATTATTCAAAATCATTAATCAGACTGTGAAACACTTTCTATATATAAACATTTTTTAAAATGGTTTAAACATCTTCAGGGTTATTTGAAATAAGTGAACAAAATTTTGATTTGCTTCCTTTGACTTCTAGTTCCTGATGCATTTGGATCACATTTTTAGGAATTTTTTTCTGCAAGACTAGAAACTAAGCTCTTTAATCATGCAAGCTAATAGTCCTATGACATGCTTAAAGAGGTGGGCTTGAAGAGAACTCCCAAGTATCACACTGATAAAAATCAAGAGAGTTGGCAATATAGCTTGAATTTGAAGAGGTGAAGAAATGTGCGTGGCACTAGACGGACTTGAACAGCTGTACATATTTCAGCCCAAGATTTCAAATTTTCTGTCAAAATATTTCAGTGAAAAACTAACGTTCTCCATGGAAAGCAGATATTTTTGATGAAAATGCGATTTCATCAAAACTCCATTTTCCATTAAAACACAGTTTTGACAGAAATTTTTCAACCGTCCTTATTCAGTGTTATGTTCTGTAATTGAAAATGTTAGCAGTTTTTTTTAGGCTGTCTCTAAAACTGCAAAGATTTATAGGGACTTGGCAAAAATGGATACGGAAAAAAAAAAAATCTAACTTAACCACTAGTAGCTCTGTCCCTTCACATTACACATTTCCCTGGAAAGTATTTTTACTTAAGTTTGTCACAATACATGACAGTTAGTGGCATAGCACAGCAATTCATTTCAGCAAAGCAGTTCACATTTCCTTGCATGGTATTTTTCTTATTCCTAGCCTGTCTTAACAAAGCATCCCTCCTCTATTAGAGAAATAGTGGAGACTTTCATTTTGGCTTAACAGACTAAGGGAATAATTTTTCACCTGGTTAGATTCTGGTATCATGGATCAGAGTGTTGATTATGAGAGCACTGTAGGTGGCGTTTGCCACTTTCTCAAATCCCAAAGAAAGGCACCCAGCATAGAACTATGCAGACATGTCTGCTGGAGTTACCCAGGACTCCCTAGGCTATGCTCTGAAGACAGGCTGGCTGCTGCCGAGTGGTTTTATCATATTACAGTCCAGTCTGAAGTATGACTGAAAAAAGAGAACTGGAATCAGAGGGTGCAAAACAGGTATTCAGAAAAGCAGAAAGACACTTCAGAGAAAAGGAAAGAGAGAAGGCTGGAGAACTTCTGGCTATCATATTTTATCCAGCACTTTCTTTTTTTTAAGCTTTCCAAAATGTATTTAGTGGGTGTCAGGGCTCTGCAGGCTCCCTCCTTTGCCTATAAAACCTTGCCTAAGCTAGAAAGCACTTCAGAACAGGGTTGACCTCATTAGTAATAAGGCAAATAAGAAGCTTCAGCGATGACCTTCCTGCAGCTCTGTCCTGGCCTTTGCTTGAGATTGCACAGGGTAAATTAACAGGCAGAAGCCTGTAAGACGTACACCTATTCCATCTTTAGCACTCCTGCTTGGCCACTCCTGTCCCACAGCTATAAAGTGTTGGGATGTCAGTTGGTGTGAATTAGTGCATCTCCACTGTGGGCCAGATCCACAGCTGCTATGAACTAGCAAAACAACAGTAAGGTTAGTGTAGTCATATAACATTACACCAACTGAAAACCTGACCTGGATTTTGCTGCCAATAATTTCTTGTGTCCCTCCTTCTTCTTCATCCCCTGAACAGATGAACTCATAATCATGATAATTAGCAGAAGTACCTACTCTTACATCTAGTTATTATGTGATGACATGCAGGCTACAAGAACTTTTTAACCTGACAAAATCACTCATACAGCTAATTTGCAAGACAGACATAGAGCAAAAATAAAATATAAGCCATACACAGAATAAAAACATAACAAAACAAAAAAACCCAAACTAACCTGAAGGAAGACCTGAGATGATGAACGCTTCCATATAATGTTTCTCTCCGATTAGACTAATTTGAAAATTCTGCAGGCAAGCCACAGTCTCCTGATCCCAAATCAGAGACATGTACACTTGTCCACACATAGATGCACAAAGTTTTTCCTAATTGTCCCTATAGAACCTCTAAATATCCACTGACATTATTATAAATCCTTCCCTCCTGCAAGGCAGCATTCCCAGCCCCTTCCATCTCTCACTTCCCCCCCATAAATGACAGATTGGCTCTAATCTCTCACCTGCATAAATCTCCCATATTTAGCACAAATATTTTAGCTATGCTGATTTATGGAAGCACCAGCAAGACTAAACCAGGAGATACATCCTGCATGCACAATGACTGATAGCTTGCTGCAAATCTTTCCATTTAAAATGCTGTCACTTCGGCAGTCCCATAGGAAAGAAAAAAAAAGGATAAAATAACACTCAATAATGCTATTTATGGCAGCTCCTGGGAAAAAAGAAAAAAAGCATTTACACAACTTGATTTCTTCCAAGTTTCACTGCATAAAATCCTTGTTTTTAATTGAAGAAATTCTACTTGAGGGAGGATGTGAAAACAGCTGCAAGGCTCCCAAGCCCTTCTCCTCTCTCCCCTCCTCCAACCATACCATTTTCTGGTTTTAACTGACTGCAGCAGTCTTGATTTACAGCCAACAGGAAGTTGCTATGCAGCTGAAGCTGCCTGCTTTTGTACTCATGGACAGACTGAATAAACGCATGGATTCCCTACTCAGATTTAACTGCAGCAGTAAACAAAAACAGGCTCTAGTTCCTGATTCCAGAAAAGTTAATGGCAATAACCTCACTGAATTCAGTAAACTAAGCTTTGAGGGCACTAGGCACCAGCAACTCCTCCTGATCTCAGAGGATACTCATTGTAGCCAGCACTTCAGAGTTTATTCTGATAAGAATGAGATTAGGACATTCAAGTTTATTTGTGGTAGATAAACAAAAAAGATACAGACTGTTTGGGCACAAGGAGAGACCTGTCTGTCTGGTTCACTCTCTCCATGGTGTTTAAGGGCCCCACAGGGGCAAGAGCTTTCAGAAGAGATTGAATTCATTTAGCTGCTCTGAGCCAAGCTGTTTTAAGATTTGTTTCCCTTTAGCGTTTTGCACAAGGACATCAACAGGGGCAAATTATGCTGTTGTGGCAACACTTTATTACTCTTCTGCTGAAGACTTAGAGTTGCAGATTCAAACAGTTGGGCTGAGACCTCAAGTCACTGAGCAAATTAAGGGAGATTCTGCATTCTTGGCTCCACTGACACCATTTTCCTCGCACTGTTTCCTCTTCTGCACTGTCCTCAAATTGGGCTAAGTTCTTCCTACTAGCCTGTTGAAAGCTGCAATTTCACCTGCTGTCACAATGCCCTAACGGTAATATCAGACTGAACAGCTGTGTGCTTCCTGCTCCACTGCAGCTAATTGACTAGTAAGGAAAGTCTGTTCCACAGCCAGATCACAATCATACTCTCATTGCTCGAGTCTGGAATTTGACTTACCAAAAATTCTGCTGGACACAAATCATCCACATTTTCACATTGTGACTCCAGGATTCCAGCTGAAAGAGAGAGAGATAGTTGGTTAAAAAGAAGAGCAATAGATAATTCATTGTCTTTGGAATGCAGAGCAACACAGAAATATCTGTGATTTCAGATGCTTATTTTAGTGCCTGTTACATGGTCTACATTGTCTGTTATGCAGAATTCTGGATCCAACCTCTCCTCCAGGCTCTGCGAATAGATCACTTTCTTTCTCCAGGTCTTACAATTTTTTCCATTTTACTGCCTGAGGAAGTTCTGTATCCTTCTTAGGAATGCATTTAGTGACAAACCTTTACATAACAGCTAATTGTGCAATATCATTTTTAAGGGAAGAAACCAGCCAGCAAGAATCATAGGACACATTCCCATCCATATCAGTAACAAAGTTATACATGTTTGCTTTAGGTTTCTCATCCAAGTATCCACTAGTGAAACTTCAAAATCTCTCTTCTAACAGGAAACTTTGCTTTCCCTTGCTATGAATAGGAAAACAAACAAAAAACAGTGGTTAACATTTTGTAATTGTTTTTACCAGTTTGTAAATTCAACTCTAAGATGTGAAAAGAAAAATCTTCACTGAAGAGGGAAATAAAACAACAACCTCAGTGACACACACTCCACTAAGGCTCTAAGACATTGTTACAGCTGGATTTCCTGTTAAGCAGCACCTGGATTTTGTTCTAAAAGCAACTTTGCAGAACCTCTACAGATGTTCTTCGATCACCTGCTTGACATAGTGAAATAATGCTTGCATTAAGCAGGATCTTAATGAGAAACAGTATTAACAGAGAGGGGGGAAAAGGTAAATAAGGATTTTCAAGTGTGGCAGTGGGACAGAAAAATCACCATCATTAGGGCAGCAGAATGTTCCCCACCTTTCTATCCTGACAATATTTTAGTGTAAAGAACTTCTCAGTTCACATATCAAACTGGTAGCAGCGACTTTGACAGTTCTGACATTGTTCCAACTTGTATAATTTAGAGTTCAAAATAATACTTAATTTCTCAAATCTATTCAATATGGCAGACGTTGGAGAATGGCTCTTTTGCAAATCAGCTTCCTATATAAGCCTTAAATCTATGCACCAAAGGTTCTTTGGTCTTTATATTTCAACATGCAAATTGTCAGTCTAAACGGCTGTCCTGCAAGAGTCTAGCTGGGCTTCAGAAAAGCTTGATTCTGCTAACACAGGAAAGTGAAGGCACAGTCTTCGACAAGCACAAGTTGCAATTAATGTACTCTCTGTGAAGTAGCTGCTGCCAGGAAAAAATGAACAGAATTTTGGCTTCAATAGACTAGGCATCAAAGAACAGTTCCAAAGAGATCTGTGTAAAAAACTGTATGGTAGCAACTGAAAGGAAAAAATAGAGAGGTCCTAGCCAAACTATGAAACATCACGGAAATGGGAAGGGGGAAAAAAAAAAAACAAAACTACTCAACATTCTTTTTTTTTTTTTTTGGTTAATCTACTTTTTGAACACTAGGGCACTGATTTCAAATAACGTACACAATACTACTAAAGCCTTGTGTTGTGTGTGAACCCACAGCCCTATATGTCAGAATAACAAAATACAGCATTACCAGAAGATAATCACTATGTGAGAAACACACATACAAAGTATAAATAGATGTTGTGGTCAGGGTTCAGGACTGAGCCAGCTAGATACAAAGAGACAGAATATCGCTTCTAAAAGAACACCGGTTCAAATTCTGTCAATTATTTGGAATGAATCTGTGTGATTTTTTGCTGAAAATTCTTATAATTTCCCCCCAAAACATGCTTGAGATCAACACTTGTGTGTGTACACACACACACACAACAAAACAAAGGATTCAACATTTCTTTAGTAACTTAAAGGAAAAAAAACTTCAACTGACAGTGTGATACCAAAAGATACAGCTGAAATGTATTTCCATTATAATTATATTCTATATGCAGCTAAGATTATCATATACATTCAGCTTTTTGGTACCTAAAGATGATTTTATCACTAATGTATGTCAAAAGCTAAATACAAACTGTGTAAGACACAGAATATGGGATTTAATCACTCAGTAGACATAGAATGTGAAAGTGAACAACATGCTCATGACAGTAACATTAAAACATTATTTAGCTGGTTAGATCACATTCCTACAACTACACAAGCTACCACTCCACAACCACAAATTACCAAGCCAAGACAGACACTCCTAAAAAGAAGCTTTGCATTTTTCAGGAAAAGTTGAGAAGTAATTTTTCAGAGAAGACAACAGTTGCTATCAGGTTTGCTGCGGTTTAGATAGAAGTTTTTCAGTTACACGCAATGGACTGTTACATGGCATTTTAACCCAGTGAATTATAAAACAATCCTAACGTACTACGTACAAGCAAAAATCTTGAAAAACATTTTCCTAATAAAAAGCAATATTGTTGAAGCAGCAACAACAGTGCACTATTTTATTACTAATATTTAATCATGTGGGCTATTTGATTGGCTTGGTTAAAGATAGCATGTTGTCTTCCAAGACTGAACCACAGTTAAAAGTAATAAACAAGGTTTTTGTCTTAGCAAGATGCACTATCAACAACATATTTACTCCTCTTTAGCTTTAGAAAAGAATTCAAACAATACAGTGGAAGGAACGTATTTTTCCTTTGTGGCCACTGTTGCCACAAAATATCAAAATGATCCCCACCCTACATATTTGAAAGGAGAACAAAACATGTATGCTTTAGTTGTTTGAAGGCAACAACAAAATCAATTAGAAATATCTACAAAGGAGAAAAGTGTATTACAATTTTATTGTTGGAAGTTGGAAGTAGAAGTCCACCTAGTAATTGTTACCTTTTAGTGTTCTGGTAGAGGAAACAGATAACGGACACACTGTTGTGTTAGGTGCCATACAAATATAAAGCAAACATAGACGTTCTCAAAGGACTCTCAGCATTTCATACTGGTCACCTGAATACTTTTAATAACAATCTCTCACCCCAGCCCTGCCTGCTATATTTCTCATCGCTAAGGGAAAAAGAAAAAAATCTATTTTTTTCTGATTTTAATTGCTTTAAACAGTTATAATGTTGTTTACTAAAAGCAATTTGCTTTTTAAGGTTTGTATGATGGCTAGAATGGAAAGTCTGCCACAAATATAAGCTACATATTTATGGAAAAAAATCAGTAAAGTTCAGGTTATTTGAATTTATGCAATATATATTATGCATATTTAGGCAATATGCTCTAGAGGTCCCTGCTTGAGCAGGGAGGTTGGACTAGATGATCTCCAGAGGTCCCTTCCACCCGAAACGATTCTGTGATTCTGTGAATTTATTTCTAACCCTTTCAGGTTCAGATGAGACTGCACTGAGATAAGCACAAGACAGCGCTAGTTGCTCAGGTCAGCTGAATTAGGAGACGCTGGAGACCCTGTATCCAAGGGTTTCTCCTAAAGCTGTGCAGACTGAATTAGCCCTAAGTAAAACCTTAAATGCAGTTGTGCAACCTACATAATCTGTTCAAATACATGATAGAATACATAAATAGTATAGATAAAATACATGATAGAAGAGTAACATTTACAGAAAATAAAAAAAAAAAAGGAGCAAGTTAGACAAGGAAAGATGGATAAAAAGAATCATATGTGAAAAGAATGGTTTCTATTTGGGCTTCCCTTCAGAGATTACTTGCTTTAATCTGAAATATGAAGCAACTGAGGGGCTTTCTGATTTAAGCCTAGCATGCACTATCTGTGCATCTAAGCTGCCAGTGCTCAGACAGAACGAAGGAGGCGATCTCTCTACTCCACATCTTAGGAGCTAGAGTGACAAAATAAATGAAAGGTCTACAGAGTTTTAGCAGTTCATAGGCTTGACCTACTTCAAAACAAACAATTATAGGAAGAGTAGTGGCATGTTCACACTGTGAAGAAATTATTGTTACTCCAACCCACCATGACAGATTGTAGGTTGCTGCTGGAAGGCCACCTGCACAGATTCACTACAGAATTCAAAGCTCAAAGTGACCTATTTATGTCTGATATTGAAATAATATGCTAGGAATACTGTCCAGAGCACTGTCTAGTCACTGACTGCCAGAAAACCTCTGTGGATTTAGCACAGCCCTCCTGAGTGTTGTCTGCACAGGTTTGTTTTGCTGAACACAAAACCACACTCACTTTTAAAGCCTATCCACTTGCTTACACAAGAGACTTACGTAAGTCCATATAGCAGGAGACAAATCACACAGGGATAAAGGTGTCAGGGTGAGTTTCTGATCTCATACTAATGTAAGTGAAAAGTAACTCCTTAGAAGGAGCAATTTAGATCAGATTTTAAACTAGGGATGTATTTACAAAATTAAACAACTGGTGAACAGCTGCCTGCAAAGTTTCCGGAATTTTTGGAGGGGTGTTAGTTTCTGAACTAAGAGGCAGGAATTTCAAAACTGAGGTAGCAATTTTTATGCCAGTTCTGTTCTTTTTAACTAGTGACCCCCCCCCTTCACAAGTAAGAACGTAAATTGTCATGGTTCAGTACCAAAAAGTAAGACCAATTTTCCCACTGAGGTTAATTCCCATTTTAGGTACCTAAATAAGGGCCGCATTAGTAAAAGTGCATGGGACAAGTTCTAGTCTGAAACGATTTTTTTTGGTCCATACAAAAACCAAATGTTTCACATCAGCACAAGAGGAGAGTTCATTTGCCATAAAACATGACATTGATGTTTTCTGACTCCTCCTGTGATGCTGACGACTTGCTTTTCACATGAACTCAATACTTGGAAAGCTGATAGAACTTTATGCATAAACAGATTTCCAGTACAAATCAGGACTTTGGAGTGAAGATGCTGTTTCACAATCTGTTTAAGCCAATAACCTGTTCTGCTGGCAAGAGCTGTGGACCTATCATCCTCCCTGCTTTTGCTCCACTGCTTGCACCAGCCTTAACATAGCTACGCAGTCAGTCAGATTATGGAGTTGACACCGCTGAAAAATAAGCTTTAGTTTTTGGCTTTCTCACCTGGATGACCAACTGCA